CTTGTTTTTTTTTCTTATTATTTTTTTCTTTTTGCGTTTTTATCATTTTTACACGCTTTTGTAATAAAAAGTTAAAGATGGAGCTTAAACTGTCAACCGTGTCTAATACTTATGAAATAAAAAAAGTCCCTTTTGGAGGAAAAAAATTAACCAAAATACGTGACTATGAAAAAAGACTGGGATTTAAGAAGTTACCTCTATATTTCATGGTCAAAGTATTACAACTTCTGGTGAAAACATTTTTCAAAGTAATAAAATCTGAACCTTTTCAAACAAACGACTTACTCTGCATGTACCTCCGCTTCTTTTTCTTTTTATACTTACAAGAAGAGTATTTAAAGCTTTTCTGCTGTTTCAACAAATACTTTGTTCATTTATTTTAATACAATTACTTATTTAGCAAATAACCTAAAACTAAGAAAATCCGTACCTCAGCTCAAGGATTAAACATATTAGCCATCCTAGGCAACCTCTGCAACCCAGATGCAAATTCAATCAAAGAAAAACTAAATTCACAAATCTGTATATTTGTCCTAATTAAATGTTTCATTCGCTGTAACTTTGTATTGCACGTGTCGTAAAAAGTGACATTGAGGACTTAAACTTTTTTAATTTATTATCCTTCAAGAGAATTTTCTTCTTGACTTAATCCTCACTCCAATGTATATTTAAGTATTGTAATTCAAAAACAAAAATGGACTACATATATATTTATGGACTCAATATTATCATTATAAGACGTTCGAATCATGCGCAATTAGACCGTTCTGCATGTTTCTTCTACCATGGCGTTTGAGGCAGTTAAAATCACAAAATAATTGCTCTGAAGAGGCCATATGAACAAGGTATAGTATTGACCAGAATTATTAAAAAAAAGTGCCTTCATTTTCTTAGCTAACGTACATGTATACCTACAATTATAATTTTAATGTCTAGACAATTTTTTGAATTTTCGGATATGCATTTTTATTTTAAGATATAATGAAGACACTTTGTAAAGTATATGATCAATAACTCAAAATTGTTAAATAAAAGATACTATAATGCATATATATATATACATGTAAGTGTACGGCTTTGCCTTCTGTCTGTTTCGTGTGCCAATTTGCAATGATCGAATGACATTTTTATAACATAAAAATACAAAAAGTAAACATTTACGCTGGAGTGTGAGTTCTTAATTAATAAAATCGTTTGGATTTTCAATTGATTCAATAAATAAAATACGCATAACTTATTGTACATTACAAGTTGAACAAACTGAAACAAGAAACATCATTTTGAAACATACGATAACACTATTTATTTAAAGTTTGATAAATCTATCACTGCGATAAGTTTAAAATTGTTACAAAATAATTTTTAAATTGCTAATAGTACTAAGGAAGCTATTTCTGTTATCTGCTTATTTTATTCAACCAATGTTTTAATCAATGTTCTTGTATACTTTTTACCATTAATAAACTCCATCTAGGATAATAAGCCCTGGAAAAGTGTTGAATCTCTTTTATTATAGATCTAGTAGAAATAATGGTACATTTCCGCCCTCGGGTGGTTTTGGGAGGCTGGTACTTCCTCGGGCGAAAAAGCAGTTTTCCGGAACTCGTTCGAAAAGTCTCCTTTACGAACCTCGTTACGTCCTTCGCCTTCGGCTCGGGCCGCAAACCTCTCGGTTCGCAAACAAAGACTTTTCAAACTCGTAGGAAAACTACTATTTC